ATTTTTGAGCTTCTGGGGATTGCTTCTTCTCTCCCTTTAATTTCATTTTTGCCCAGTGAGAGGTTAGGGACAGAGCAGAAGGGCTCCAAAATAAAACCAAAGCAATAAAAGCAGCACTTACCATCACGCTCTGCACAGCCACCAAGGCCTGAGACTCTCTCACCTCCACCCTAAAGCCCAAAAGGGCAGGTGGGGCCCCTTAGCGCACTTATGACCCCGAGCATGTCCAAGTAATTACAGCTGTGGACTCTAATTACACACTGCTGTGTGAAAGGTGAACGTCTGAGGGGGTTGCCACAGCTTTCATTGTGGTATTAAAGTGTCTGCACGTGGATACGTGCTCTGGTTTTGGGGCTACTTGCTCTGGTTTAGTTAAGCGGGGGCTAACTCACCCAAGTGCACTTGTTCTAATGAGCTAAACCGATGCCGGTTGTGTTAAACCTGCCTTAGGAGCAGCAGTGAACTGAGATTTATTGATTGAAGCACCAGTGTCTCAGGCTGGTGCGTGCACGCTTCGCTCGCTGCGGAGCAGCAGTCGCCCTGGAAATGAAAAGATCTTTTATTAGTATTATTATTATTTTTAGCTTGCATCCCTTAGGAAATAAAGCTTATTTGATTTTTATTTTTTTTTTGGCCATGCATGTTGGGTTTTCCCACCCCTGCCTGTTGAGTACCTGTCATCACAGAATCATAGGATGGTTTGGGTTGGGAGGGACCTTAAAGCTCATCCAGTTTCAACCCCTAGGCCACCTTCTACCAGACCAGGTTGCTCCAAGCCCTTGCTGGCCTCCTCTGGACTCGCTCCAACAGCTCCATGTCCCTTTTGTGTTGCCCCAGAGCTGGATCAGGACTGCAGGGGGGGGTCTCCCCATAGCACAGCACAGGGGGTGAATCCCCTCCATGCCCTGGGGATGCAGCCCAGGATGTGGCTGGATTTCTGTGCCTACCCAGCGAGGCAGGACTGGGGAGAGGTTACAGGTGGTTTCTTTGCTCTGGCAGCAGCACTGATTTAAATGCACGTGGAATAAAATGCTCAGTGCCTGATTTCAGTGGGAATTAGATTTCTAAATAATCCGGCGACTTTCCCCATTGTGTTTGAGTTTATTCTGCAGAAGGCTGTTTGCTTGCAGACTGGGGGTGCTGCTGTGTATTAAGGCTGCTACACAACTAAGGCTTTTCTGCCAAGCTTCAAAACACCATTAACATTTTCATAGCCATTTATTTTCCCCTTTACAAAGAGTATTACTTCTCGCCTGCATTAAAACCAGCACAATTTCCAACTTCCAGGAAAAGAGAATATTTTTCTCTCTTCCTTTTTTTTTTCTTTCTTTCTTCTCTCTCTCTCCTTCCCAGTGAAAACATTTCAGCTGGAAAATTCTCATCATTGTAATATTGACCTTTGCAAAGGGCTTTAAATCCTTGACTGAAAGTAGCATGTAAGTGCGAAGTTTTATTAACTGATTACCTTTGTGGTTTCGACTCCATTGCTAGTCAAATTTGATTTAGAGGACCAGGCATGTTAAAAGAACCAGCTTTCTGACATAATTCGGGCTCGCTGCAGCTCTGAGCATCATCCTAAAAGCCTCCCTTCCCTTTACCTGCACGACCACGTTATTCCAGGCGACAGAAGCAAGCGCAAACTGATTATTAAATGCTCTTTTTTTGGGTATCTCATTTAAATCTGCCATGCTTTGCTGAAGGAAATGAATCATTCCAATTAAAAAAGCTGAGAAAATCACGGAGCTGGGGGAAATGGCCTTTAGGGAGGAATATTAAGCTGATGCTGTGCAGACGTACCCTTGTGGATGGGTTTGTGTTTGCCAGTGGGAACCCCACACTGGGTCCCTTTGCATCCTTCTGCTTCCATACCTTGATGTGGTGGAATCACAGCTGTATCTCTCCACAGAATTTGGGGTCTCCCTGCATCATTTGGGGTTGGAAACCGGCCCCATGCCATGTTTAATAGGAAAGGGCAGTGCTAAAAGCTGGGAAGTGCGGATGATCAACCTCTTCCTTGCTGAAATTCCAGGGGGATGAACGAGGCATCTTTCCCTTATTTTTCCCCTTGTTTTTTGCTATATATTTCTGGTATTCCACATTGACAAGTGCAATAGATATGAAACATCTCAACAATGAAAGCAAATCCATCCTGCGTGCCTTTGACTCTCTTACTTCCAGGCTATTTACCCAGAAGTGCAGGAAACAAAATGTTCAGAAATGCTGCAGCAAAACGAGGGGAAAAGAAGAAAGAATAATATAAACCATGTAAGGAACTTGATATAAATGAAGCAATATTGACAGAAAGTGACAGAAAGCAGCAGGACAGCAGCAACTCAGATTCATTTCATTCTTATGTGCTACAAAGCTAAGCCAAGCACCTTATAGAGGGATACAGAGGAATATAATCACACATTCCTCTGGTTTATAAAATCATAGAATCATAGAATCACAGAATCTTTCACTTGCTGTTTATAAATACAGATGAGAAGTGATAGCTGTGCAGAATCCTGCCATAGAAACACTGAGCTGGGGACTCAGAAGCTGTTCCTGCTCTTGCTGCAGAGCTTTCCCCATGGCCTTTGGGAAATTCTGCCCATGGTGCCTCAGTTTCCCCCTTGGCAAGGTGCTGCTCACCTTTCTTGACTATTCGAATCATAGAATCATAGAGTCACAGACTGGTTTGGGATGAAAACGACCTTGAAGTTCATCTTCCAGGGATGGGGCAGCCACAGCTTCTCTGGGCACCCTGTGCCAGCGCCTCAGCACCCTCATAGAGAAGATCTTATGCCTAAGAGCTCATCCCAGTCTCCCCTTGGGCAGGTTCAAGCCATTCCCTTTGTCCTGTCACTGCAGGCCCTTGTCCAAAGCCCCTCTCCAGCTTTCTTGTCAGTCCAGTTTAGGTACTGGAACACTGATATCAAGTCCATTTGCAAGACAAATGCTTTAAAGCATGAGCTGTCTCCAAATTGCAAAGCAAAATGATGGGGATGATGGGATGGAGGAGGGTGATCATCACTTCCCTAAGGTGCTTCTTGGTGGGGGGGGGCAATAAAACATGGGGAGACCTTTTCATTTGGCAACAGGTAGGGATGGCCACCACCTGCTTTCCCACACAGAACTGAAGGCAGCTGCCTTCAAAGAGCCTCCAGCTGCACCAGCCCCTCCACTGGGGACACTGGGGGATTGAACTGCCACATTCCAGCTATGGCACTGCCTTGTTTTCAATACAAGCCTAGCCCAAAAGTGCCAGCCCCTTTGCACATCTCCCTCCAGACCCTCTCTGAAAGCAGTCCAGGCAGAGGCCAGGGAAGCAGATTCATGCCTGGGCTCTTTTTTCTCCTTGTCTCCTTTTTCTCCCAGCTCAATGGACAGCTGCCAAAACCCCTCAGCTTGTGGCTCTTGATAAAGCTCTTGTACAGCTGGTCTGGGAGCAATATGGGCCTAGAAGCAGCAATAGGGGGAAAAAGACAGTGTGGCTTTGAGGGGTAAAAACAACAAAGGAAAAGGCTGTGATGATGACATTTTGGATGCAGGCGGGGACAGCTTGGCTTCCCATACCAACCTGCCATCCCCTTTCTATAGATCAGCCCCGTGGGAAAGCTGAAGCTGGGTGTCAAACAGCAGGCAGGGGCAAGGATGCAATCAGGACCTCCCATCGCACTCTGAACAGTGTCTGGTTAATACACAGGTCCTCAGCAAATAACCCCTTCCCCAATCCTTCCCCTATTTCCCACAGCCACCCTGCTTGCTGCTCGCAGCCACATGCCACTGCAGCTAAAGCTGGTTGCAGTGCACCAGGGGACATGGCGGTGGAGATAGATTTGACATCGCAAGGATGGCCAAGCACTGTCACCAACTGGTTTCTCATTGACCCTTCCTAACTTAACCAACATCAGCCTTGCAACATCCTTCAGAGGCTTTGCTGCAGCCTTTCCTGCAGGTCTTTTATCGCCACGTTATTTTAATGTCGTGCTTTGCATTCAGCTGCTTGTCTGCTTTTCTGTCAGTGGTCCCAGTGCTGCGAGGTTAAAATAGCTGAGATGAACCTGCTGCAGCTTTGGACATGGATGGGTTGGATGCATCTCAGCCTGTCTCTGGCAGTAGGATGTTTATCAGCTGCAGAGCTGATACTGAAGAGGGGTGGATGCTTTCAAACCATGGGGTGAAGCTCCCCAGGGTATTTCCTGGGGTTAGGAGATTATTGCCATTCTGATCTGAATTGATATAGGGAGCATCAAAGAACCTTTCAGCAAACCCGTTCCTGTAGAGCTCTCAGCTGCTGTTTCAGATGTGTTGGGTACGGGCTCTCGGTTGAGCTGGTCAGATTTCAGCCTCTGACACACACCCTTTAGGAACCTGGGGATATTCAGATGGTCTCAATCCACCAGAAAACTAAGAAAACTCCGGATTAGGGTGGTATTCACGCGTTGGAACATGCCAAACACTGCGCTGCATTAGTCCTCGCTAAATTACCGTCTGATCCCGGCTTTTTCCCGGTCCCATTAAACTTTCCAGCTCAACGGGGAGTTTGGAGGAAGGCAGAGAGCTCCACAGCTCCTCCCGTGGTCTGCGGGAGAGGAGCTGGCTGTAGGGAGCTGGGTAGGAAAGCAAGCGATGTCTGTCGAACACAGACCTTGTCCTCTTTACCAGTTATATGGTTTTTAGTATCCTTTTCGAGGGGGTTTAATACCACAGGCTCTTTATGAAACCTCACTTGGGCTTCTTTTGCTAAGGAAAACAAACCAAACATAGAGCATGTATGAGCACAGGGCACGTATGAAAGGATGCAGGAGCAGCAAGGAGTTAAAATGGGACGTTTGTATAAAAACAATGAATCCCAGTTTCGCTTGATTGGCACTTTAATTAGGCCCATGTCCTTTTGTTGCCACTGCAATCAGATTGGAGGAGAATGGGATGCTTCCACACTTATATTTATCTCAAGATTACAAGATTTCCTTCTTTTCAATGCAAAGGGGGGGGGGTAATTTATATTACCTTATAAATGTGGCAAGGAAAGGATATTCTGTATGGCTTGGAGAGAGTGTGGCTTGCTGATTGCAGCCCGAGAATTAACCTTATTATGTTAACAAGAGATTGCTATGCTAAGAAGAATAAGGAAGGAAAGTTCCGTCTCTCAAGTCTGGCAGGAGCAAGACAAGGACTGAGCAGGCTCAGAAGGCAGCCTTGAGTTTAACAGCTCCAGCAAAGAACACATAGAAAGCCAAAGTCCTTGTGGGTTTTATAAGGCAATTTCCCTCTTTTCCTTCTCTCCTTTTTATTGTGTGCAGGCTGTAACTCCAGCTTGGCACCCAGTGAATCTCCTGAGACCGGCTTCAGACAAGTGCTCCCGGTAAATAATGTGCCCAGATTACAAGGCCTATACCTGTATCTAGCTACATCCTAAAATTTAAGGCAAGCAGAGATTCTAACATGAGGCTGAGCAGGGTTTTACACCCAGATAAGGAAGACAACTCCAAGTGCAGGGAAGGGGAGGAGAATGGGATGCTGGAGATTCCCAGTTCCTGACCTTCTTGTGGAATGATTTCATTCTTTGTTGGAAATAAGGGCCATTTTATCTGCTGAAAAAAAAGATTGTTCTGCACTGCTTTTGATGCTTTCTGGTGTAAAAGGAAACCTCTGGATAACCCTGCAGCTCATTTCGCTTTTCCTGTGCCATGCATCCCCAAACCCTGCATTATAGTGGGGAAAAAACCCCATTCACCAACATATATTCAAATCCTCCCACCTCCCTGAGCAGGCTGCTGCTCCAGGGTGATGAGCAAGAGCTGTGAGTCAATATTCAGCCCCATTTCTCCCTTTTTTTTCCCCCAGAAAAAGCTTTCAAACCTTGTGACAAGCGTGAGCATGGGCTGAAAGCAGAAGTTGGCTGTGAAATTTCAGCCTGTCCATGGGATTTGCTCGAGGAAAAGGCATTTGTTTTTGCAATGGAATAGTTTATTCTTCGAGCAAAGATAGAAATGATGCCATTTGATTGAGGTGGCTAATTACACAGCGCGAAGAGTAAATTACAGCTATCAAATACCCCAGTGGATATTCACTTACAAAGGGAGAGGGAAATGAATTTTTTTGGGTTTGCTGGCAATTTGGGAATAAAAACATTGTCTCGGATGGGGAATGTTAACCAATCCTCTGAAAACTCCTGCAACTGCTGAATTCAAATGGTATTTTGGCACACACCAACCAAACCGTTCACTCTGATAACCTTATGTTTTATTTGGTATTTTTTCTCTGTTTTGGAAACATTTGCCCTCACTTTAACATCTAATTTCTTCAGTGAGAGCCATTAATAGTGAGTTCAAAAGCAGCTAAAAGTGCCCAACTGGAGTGAAAATCTTTGGCTTGAAAAGTATACTGCTTGCAGGAAAAGTTTTATAGGAGAAAAAAGCCCAACCCATCAATGTCCTCAATTAATAAACACCCTCAAATTGGAATTTCATTCCTGAAAGCTGGGAAGTTTTATAAACAAGGAATAAATGGAAGGAGGCTGCAGAGAAGAGCATCAAACACCCAGATTGAAGCTGGGGGATGAGCCATGTCTCCAGCTCACCCATCTCCTCCTTTGAAAGTGGCCATTTCAGTGCTCTGTTTGATGCAGACACCTTGCAAAAGGTGCTGTTGCTTGGTTTGCTGGGGACAAACGCAAAAGGAACCCTTTATTTCACCTGGAGCCGTGATAACTTGTGTTTCCTCTTAAATATCAAGCTTTTGAGGACAGGCTTCCCCAAAATGTCACCTTTGTGGGTGCTTTTGGGACTGAAACATCCCATGCCTCAGTTTCCCCAAGGACACAGTATACTTTCTTGAGTGTTTTAATGTTTTCTAGGTCCTTTTGATTCAACAGTCTTGCAACAATCACTGCAACCATGCTCTGAGGATCTCCCTCATCACCTCCCTACCATGCCTTCAGCCTCTTTCCCTGAGTAATGAAAGGGAAGCATCACTCTGAATGTCTCTGCGTGCCTGCAAATTCCTGGGGCCTATTAAGGAAACAAAAAAAGATAAAGTCAATGTTCTTGTCTTTTCCTCTTTTTTGGCCTTTCAGAACAAACATAAAGCCCACAGCGATCTCCCCCTTCCTAGCCACCTCATCACCAGCATCCTTGCACATCCCAATGTGTGCTTATGGTGAGGGTGAACCAGCACTTTTGGGCACTTTGGCATCTCTTAATTTGTCCCATGCCATCCCCTTATCCCTGGAGAGGAGATGTTTTGTTATGTGCAAGCAGCACATGCGATGCACAGAGGGACTCATTATCCCATCCCTGGGACCAGCAGTCGCTCCCAGGGGTTTGAAGTGGGCTAGGGATGGACACATGGGGCTTGCAGCCCCAAGGAGGCCAGGAGCCTTTGGGATCTGCTTGGGAGGAGAAGAACCAAGACAACAAAACTCTGAGCTGTGGGCAGAGTGAAACACATCTGAGCTGGCACCATGAAAGGGCAGCAGCATAGGTAGCCATGGCACGGCACCCGTTGATGAAGGCAGACACCTTGCGGAAGATGCTGTGGCTCATTTTTTGGGGGTGAAACACAGAATCCCAGCCTGGTTTAGGTGGGAAGGGACCCTAAAGCTCATCTAGTTCCATCCTTCTCCCACAGGCAATTTCACGTGCAGTCATTAAAACTTTTGCTCACATGGGCTGAGCCGTTCCAAGAGCCTTCAAATGACAGCCCATTAGAGAGCAGTTATTTATAGTGGGGCATTGTTAATTTTACAGGATCACAGACCAGTGATTCAGTGCCTGGTGCTGCTGAAAGGAATCACTCACAGGAGTAAGTGTGCCCTTAATCCAAACCCTGGGGTCCTCCAGGCACATGTCCCTGAGTCATCCATAGCACCTCCACTTGCAGAAACATTTTGCTGCCTTCAGCGCTGCATCTGATGTCAACTTCTGACAGGATTTAGCACAACACAGTGAAATCTGTTCCACTACCCCCCTTCCAGCCAGGACACTCATATCTGCACAGTTGCCTAATTACAAGTCCCACTGGATATGGGTATCCATTTCCCTATACGTTCCTATAGCACCTCCTGCATCCCTGACCTTGGCTGAGCCATCTAGGCAATATAGAAGAATACAGTAATCACAGCAATGATAGCAATAATCATTATAATAAGCCATGTTCTGGCTAGGGCACCTGTCACCTAGGCATGTGAGTGCCAGTGACAACCAGCTATTACATACCCAGGTTAAGCACAACCGTGCCGCAGAGGGTGTTAATATGATAGCAGGGGAGCAGGAAAATAAAACCTGACTCTGACATCATTCCTTGTGTCTGGAAGTCAGCCCAAATCCCCAGACAGTCCAAATCTCTAGGAATCAGTGAGTATTTCCACGAGGGTCAATGTCTGAGGACATGTCCAGGATGCTTGTGCAAATGTTCCCACATCCTGTGGCTCACATGAGGGTTTACTGGGTAATGGTGAAGGGGAATCGGTGCATTTCACTTCAGCAATGCTTTTATGAGAGCAGCAAGGCAAGGGTTTTGTCTACACACACAAACAGCTATCAATCCAATGCTATCAGGATGGTGGTGGGCTTTCTGTCGCTGAGAGGTTATGCATTGATCTGGAATGGTTTCCTCTCCAAAGCAGGGGGAGTTGGGTATCTCTGTTGGAGAAATGCTGATCAAAAGGCAGGAGAAAAACCACTAGAGACATGATGCTCGTGGTGCTTTTATACTGACACAGGTGGTTCATAGAATCACAGAATTCCACAATGGTTTGTGTTGGAAGGGACCTTAAAGCTCATCCAGTTCCAACCCCCTGCTATGGGAAGGGACACCTTCCACTAGAGCAGCTTGCTCCAAGCCCCTGTGTCCAACCTGGCCTTGAGCACTGCCAGGGATGGGGCAGCCACAGCTTCTCTGGGCACCCTGTGCCAGTGCCTCAGCATCCTCATGGAGAAGAGCTTCTGCCTAAGAGCTCAGCTCAGTCTCCCCTATTCTGAAGTTCTTTAAGTGCTTTTGCAGAAGGGATTTTTTCCTCTCTGGGGATAGAGAGAGGCAAGGAAAGGAACCCAAGCCAGACTATATCTTTTATTTAGGTGCACAAAACCACCTCATGGGATTTTCTAATGTAGCAAGGTGATTTTCTATGATCATTAAGCACCAAAACAGCTGCACCTCCTCCTGGACGGCTACCCACACCTCTAAACACCTAAATACCCTCGAGAAGCCTGGCCCAATGCATTACACAGAGCATTTCCCCTTGGATAACACCAACAGAAAGACCAGGTTCCCCCTGAAAGCCCCAGCTCCCAGCCCACCCGCTGCCTTCCCTCTTGTTCTTGTAACAGCTTTGCCACATTAAGCCGCCAGAATAACTCCATTGCACGGGCCACTTCACCTCTTCCCTTCTACCTGCAACAAAACCCATCTCCTGCTATTCCCTTTGATGACTTCTCTTCAGCTGCTGCAGAGGAGAAATGCTCGTATCAGCAAACAGATGGCGGCTGAAGCATGTAGCATAAAATATATTTATCAAGGCAAACAGCTGTAGCCCATTTCATTCTGAAGATTTCTATTAAAAGTTCTCTGGAGCTACAAGCTGCTCGGGCTCTGCAGCCGGAATAAAGCCAATGGGACAAATGGGGGGTTGGCAGAGCATTTCTTTCCCCTTCCTTCGCTCTTTTCTTCGGTGCCTTAGCTCCACTTGCAGGGCTGGCTTTGGTGAGACTGGGTGCCAAGTTAGGGGTTACTGCAGATTAACATGCACTTTTGGGAGCACCATCGTGCCCATCCATGTGCTTGGGGCTCTACATTTTATCCCAAAGGGTCCCAGGAGCTACAACATTGCCACGTCACAACATAAGACCTGAAGGTTGGATGACCTTCACTTCCAGGGGTATCTCTGCTCTAGTCTGCATCACACATGGACGCTGATGCTTTGGCAAGGTCGAGTTGGCTGTTTCCTTTGTTTCCAGCCCAAACAGACTTTGCCACCACGTTTATAATGTATGAGAAGGGCCAGGTTTGGAGGAAATGCAAAGTTTTTCTCAAGCGTAAATGAAGGTTTTTTGGCAGCCATCCCTTTCCCAGCTTCTGCTGCGAATCCAACTGAAACATTGAGAAATATCACGAAATCCTCCCCGCAAATGGGAATTTCCATACTTTGTATTAAATATACTCCCTGAACGCTCAGCTGATGTAGTGACTCACATATAACCCACTTCAGTCTGTCCCCAGCTGGGCAAAGATGTCCCCAAAGGCAGACATCCCATCTGCCATCAAAGCCATGACAGGCTGGGGAAGCCCAAATAGAATATGTGTCTTGGAACGATCTAGAAAGGTAAAGCCATGGAGCTGCCTCTGGCATCCATATGGATGTAATATCTCTTCACATCACCCACTGTTGCCTCAGATCCTCTACATCTACATTTAGACCGCCCTGCAGTCCTGCATCCAGCTCTGGGGTAACAACACAGCAGGGACATGGAGTTGGAGCAAGGCCAGAGGAGGCTGTGAAAATGCCCCAAGGACTGGAGCACTTCTGCTATGGAGACAGGCTGGGGTTGGAGCTAGGTGAGCTTTAAGGCCCTTCAAACCCAAACCATTCCATGATTTTCCCACAAGCATCAGCTTGGGCTCCTCACCTGGGCTGAGTGATAAGCAGCAGCATGAAGGGCAAACACTGCATCCCTCTTCCATCCAGCAGCAGCATTTCAGCTTTTCCAAAACGATCCTTGCAAGTCCAAACCATAAACAACTTTTTCCTCATTTTCTCTAAAAAGTAATTTTTTCTTGCTTTTCTCTCTCTTTTTTTTTTTTGTGTATAAAATATTCCTGGCACCCGTCCTTCTTAACTGCCTGCTGGTTCCCCAGCCAACAACTATGCATTTCATCCCCAATTCGGCTTTCTATTTTCAGTCAAGTGAGTGGTGGGATGAGAAGTTTTGCCCTAAAAATGTGCTCAGAGGAGTAAGGATGCCATATGCGTGTGGAGATATCTGTCACCAGCCCCCTGAATTAGGGAACCCGCACTGGTGGGGGCTGCAGGCGTTAACTGGGGACCAAGGACTTGACTGGCTCTTGGAAAACACAAGATGGAAGAGGGTCAACGTTAGGGTGGTGAAGAGGTTACAGCTTGCAAACAAAACCCAAGAGATGTGGGGTTTATGGGTTGACGAGAGGTTATACACAGACATATATATATGTATGTACACACAGAGATGCTCTGCTGCTGGGTATAACCTCTCTCCTCTCCGTGCCTCAGTTTCCCCAGTGCTTTGCATTGCTCCACCCATGCAGCCTGGGTGGGTAATTTCAGGTAGGGAAATAGAGCAGGGAAAAAGACCCATGTGGCATGAAGACTATGGCCACAGCACCATCAGCTTGCTTCATTACACCAGGGCTGGAAAATACACTGCAATCCCTGCACTGGGCACTCTATCTCATTCTCCAGTCACTTGGGATGGTCCTGTGGACCCATTCCATGTGGGATGGCAGCAAGGAAAACTTACCAGAGGCACTTATCCACCTCCAAAGGAGTCTAAATGACTCCTTGATTATCTCTTTACTTCACCAGTAAATAGCTCAGTTCCTTGAAGGATGTGCCTGCCACAACACCGCATGTGTGCCCCAACCATCACTTAGACTGTGATGGCTGGTGATCCTGGTTGCTGTTGCTCTTGGAGCCTAAGCCCCAGGATGAGGCCTCACACCTTCTGCCTCTATCCTGAGCTAAACTGCAGTGGGGAGGGAAAGGGAACGGGAACTATGCAGCTTTTTAGTGTATATTTCTCCCTTGGGGCTCATTATCACAACCCAGTATTACTGCAACTAAGTAATAAGCACTTATTGCAACCCTACAATATTACCAAACCAAATCACCACTACTTTTGCAACCCAATCACTATTATTTCTTATTGCAATATTATTGCAACCCAGTAAAAGCCAGGGATTGCAGCCCTGCGATTGCTTTTTCAGGCTGCAAGAGCTTGGCAGCTAGTAAGCAGTGCTAACGTTGGAATAATTCATGCCTTTGCACTGGGCAACCAGTTGGCTTTGCAAACTGCCTGGAGGCAGCCGTGTAAATAGTTATACCAAAAGATTTTGGGGCTGGGTGAATGGAGTCAGATGGATGTACTGATGATGCCCTCTTTCTGCAGGCATCCCTGGGGAATGTATGGCTTTCAAAGCCCCAGGGAGGACAGTCCACCCTGCCACTCATCTCCTGGATTTTGGCACTGGGTTGTGCACATGGAGGGGAAAGGGAACCACTTCTCACCTCCAAAGGAGAAATATGAAGGGAGAGGGAGAGAGGTGAGATCAAAACAGTGAAGCAGCAGCAGGAGGCAAGCAGAAGAAAGACAGCAGGAGAACAAGCCTGCTCCCAAAATATCCCTCCCATTCGCCGTGCTACAGACCAGAAACTTACACTTGGAAAGCTCTTCTGTGGGGGGAATAGGCTGCAAGTGTTGCTTGCAACCCTGCCTTGGGATCCCCAGGGAGCCCTCCCTGTGGCTGAGCCAGTGGAGCAGCTCCTGCTGCACACCCAGAGTGGTCCCTGCGGGGCCGTGTTTGGTTGGAAATGCTCCAAATGCCTCCAGAGATGGAGTTTGGGGAGGAAAATCCCCGTCTTTGCTCAGGTTTGCCATTTCTTTTCCTTCCCGGCTGGTCAGGGTTAAAGAGCAAACCCATTTCTAAGGCAGGGAACTGATTTTCTGCTCCTGCTTCACTTATTCCTACAAGGTTGAGTGCAGAGGTAGGAAGCAGAATGCTAAATCCCAAATTTGCTAAAGGACATTCATATATTGGCCACTTAGAAATCTTATATTACTTTATTTGGTGAGATAAGAGATGCTGAAGGCGCTGATTTGGAGGAATGATGGCTATTTGGGTGCAATCCCTTGTGCATACTAGAAGGTCTCAATCCTCTCCTCTGCTCCTGTGCTGCCATTTGGGCCCATAAGGGTGTAAGAAAAGATATAATCCAGTCCTGCACCATGCTTTTCCACCCCTTTCTCACCTTGCTTCAGGCATCTGCTGGTTTTCACCCCCTTCTTCCACCCTGCAGCACTCCAGCAGGGGCAACCTTCAGCTGCCAGCCTGTCCCATCCTCCTCCTGCCACACCAGTGATTAAAAAGGCACCTGGATAATTAAGATGCTTTGTAGGTAATTTAAACTGGAAGTCATTAAGCAGAAATAGCAACCCACCTGCCTTCCCTGCCCCATGACATTGACCCCCCCCCAATTGCCCTGGAAAGGGGATCCGAGCGTCACAAGGTTGCCATCAGACATGAATCAGAAATAAGGTGATATTAATACAACAGAGCCCAGGAATTGGGAATAAGGCTAAAGACAATGTTTCCAGGCTTGGAAGAGGAGAAAAATAAGGATAAATGCAGGTTTCTTTGCCAATAGAAAGCCAACAGACACCATTTTCTGAGGTTGTTAAAATAAGAGCCATCATCACATTGTACTACTGGAACCAACAGTGTACTTGGTGGGGTCTTTAGTTTGTCCTGAACATTTAAATCCTCCAAGTTAGAAATAAGCACCTTATTCTGTTATGCACTTGTCTGCCACCTGCAGTGGCAGTTTGCTTTCCTTTCCCTGACCAGTGTTTTCTCCCTCTGAAGTTGCTTATGTGTCCTTTCAGCTCCCTTTTTTATGGCTCCTCCAGCATCTGCGATTTTGAAGGCTCTTCTTTGTCCTCCCAGATTCCCATCATGGGACCAATCAGAGCCACATTGCACCTTACGATATAGCTCAAAGCAGCTACATAAAATACCCAAACCCCAGGGTTATTTTTCCACTCCAAGATGGAAAAATGCTTCTCCGGTTCCCTGTGCAAAACAAACACGAGTCACTGCTCCTTTCTTAAGTAGCTGGCTGGGGCTGATCTTTGTGGGATGCTTTGGGATGCTCACAGCCCCATTGCCACTGCCTCCCTCCCTTGCCTGTCTTTGTGACACGGTGATGGACCCCGCACATGAAGAGATTAGCCCAGTGTCCATGCCTCAGAGGAACAGCGCTTTCCTTTTATCTCTGGGAAGCAGGCGTGCTGGACGTGAGCCCTGCAGGGATTTATCGGGGTGCCTTGGATCTGCCTCTTCCTCTTGCACTGTCTGCTTTGTACCCACAGAGCATCAGGCCCATCAAGAGGGATGCAGAGAAGTGAAAAGGGCAGTTTTGTTTTGCAAAGGGCAATCCTATGCCAGTTTTGCAGTGCAATACCTTGGAGACAGCACCACGTCATCTCCTTTGCCCTGTCCTGGTCACTGCTTTGGAAATCCCTGGCGATGCTTTGCCTTTTCAGAAAGGCACAGAAACCCTCTGGCCTTTGCAGCTCACAGTGCTAAGATTATGGGGCTGTCGTCCAGCTCCAACACAGCTCCAAGCAATGCAAATCCACTGCGAGTGGTGCAGAAGGGCCCCAGAGCTGAACGCTTTGCAAAACGTTGTTGTCTTGAAGCTTTCTTTACCATTGAACCCCAGAAATCTCACCCTATTTTTAATAGGTTTCTAAACAGAATTCCCATTGCCAGGAGGTTCTGCCACGTAACCAGAAATGTGCAAGAAAAGCTTTTTACAGAATTAAAACCACTGACAGAGCTGATAGCCCCAAGGACATCAACACTCCCCATTGCCTGCCTTTCCTATTGCTGGACTGACACTGTGTGTACTTGCAGGTGTTGAGCCATGACGTGGCTTGCTAAGGCTGTAATGTGCCAGTCTTGTGGCTAATGCTGAGAAGGGACATGTATTTTATGGCTGCTTTAAGGCCTTTGGGAACAAAATGACTTCTTCCTTAAGCTTCCTATGAGCATCCTTCTCACCCAGGGAGGATGGAGCAGTGCAGGCTCTCCAAATGAGCAACCCTGCACGTGAATATCAATGCCTGCTTCCCGGTTTTGTTTCATTCCCTGCCTCTTCCTTCCCCATCTCCACACTCGGGAGAAGCTCCCACCTCTTTGGCAGGGAAAGAAGAGGCTGAAGGTTTGCAGGGCACGACACAGGTACACGGTATTTCACAGCTGGTTGCTTTGTAATGGGATTCTTTTATTGAAAGCTGTTTCCCCGGATCCAGCTCTGATTAGCAGATGCAAATCCTGCCCTGCATGCTGATGGATCCGCTCTGCTCCTGGAGCAAAGCTGCTGAGACTCGATGGAGGGTGTCTCAACACAAGCAATTCAGTCCCGACTTGAGCACCTTGATCCATGCTCTGTATGATCCAGCCTATCGGTCCTGAAAAACTCCTGTTGAGAGGGAGCAGGATGCATCCTCGGGTGCTTAGGCAGAGGATGAGGGGCTGGCAGGTTGGATTGTGCTGGGAGAGCAGATGCACACTTAAACAAACCAAGAAGAAAACAATGACTTAGTACTTTCTAATTACCATCCCAAAGTCAAGCAATTACTCCTTATTCACACGTGATTGCTAAGAATAGCTTAAAATGAATAAACATTAAAAAAACCACCAAAAGCTACTTAGTAAATTTTCATTAGCCAACACAGTGAGTAAGATATTTATACTCTGGCACAGCCCCTATAAATAAAGACAAGACATTATTCAGTAAATGAGTGAATTAGTACTGTGCTTAATTGCTAGAAATTACGATCAGGTTACTACAATTGCTGTAAATCATCATCAGGATCAACCCTTTTCATTATTTCCCCCCCCAAAAGAGGAGAAATCTTATTGATATGCCTTATGCTGTTATATGGGGGGCAAGGGGCTGATCCTCAGGGGAATTATTATATGAGACAAGGAGAGAAGGGAAAGGCAAAACCCTGCACTGCAGCTCGTGCTTTATGCTGTGTCTGGGTGCAGTCATATGGCTCGGGCAGGGACGGGAGGGTTTGGGTGGCAGTTGGCAGGGATGGAATGTTTTCCATAGCAAGGGATGCAGTTAAAACTCTATGGTTCTATGATCTCCTGCATCTCTGGTGGTTAGGGAGATGAAGATGGGCTGGGAAGGGTGTTGCAGGAGCTCTAGAGCTGCTTTTAGACAACCTGAGACCCAAAGGCAGGTCTGTGCGCCCAAAACCTGTCTGCTTGTTCCAGCTAGATCAGTTGGACTAATAAAAGGTTTTATCTTCCCCTATAAAGTCTCTCCTCTCCCAGCCTTAGACCAAGCACAGCTGTGGCTTTCCTAGAGCAGCCATGGCCGGGTATTGCACTTTGGGCAACACTTCTGCAAAATTGGGTGCCATAAATCCTCCTCGTTTCCCCTTGTGTGGAATGGGGGATAATGAGCAGGATGTGTGAAGTCCTGATCAGCTGCTGCTGGTGCAGCACACCAGTGTTTTCACATGAAAAGTGATGAGGGGGAAGAAAAAAAGTGGTTATTAGAGCAGAAGCACATTAGGAATGGAAGTCTGAATCTCCATTACACCCCTGGAGCTCAATGTCGTTGCCAGCCCTTGCATTGCCATTATTGCTCTGCTTCTTATTACATGTCTTGTTGTGATACCCCACCAACGAGCAGCTCAGATCCCAGGGTGCTGACCCGGGGGCTGGGCAGAGATGAGGATCACTCCCCTGATGACACTAATTCGGGTCTCAGGAGCATCTCGTCCTGTGCAAGTCTGATCCGTGTCTGCAGGCAGGTGTCAGGAGCTGATGACTTTATACAGCTCTGCTGTCACCTCCCCATCGCTCAAGAAAAGACAGTTTTGCATCAGATCAGAGACACCCTGCCGGTGTTAATGGAGTTACATTAATAAGGAGTAGATGGAGTGATGCTGCAAAGGCTGGGGGAGAGAATATAGACCCATGTTTTCAGACTCTCAAGCTCATGTTCATACCCAGAAAAAGGCAAATCGTTTGCAAACATCTGCAGATCACTGAGTGGCAGATTGGTTTGGGTTGAAGGGACCTTAAAGCTCATCCAGTTCCAACCGCTGCTATGGGCAGGGACCCCTTCCACTAGAGCAGCTTGCTCCAAGCCCCTGTGTCCAACCTGGCCTTGAACACTGCCAGGGATGGGGCAGCCACAGCTTCTCTGGGCACCCTGTGCCAGCGCCTCAGCACCCTCACAGGGAAGAGCTTCTGCCTAAGAGCTCAGCTCAGTCTCCCATCGGGCAGGTTCAAGCCATTCCCCTTGGCCTGTCCCTACAGGCCTTTGTCAAATCCTCTCTCCAGCTTTCTTGTCAGCCCCTTAGGCACTCGAAGCTGCTCTAAAAGGTGAGAAAAGGGAGGAAAGGGTTTTGAAGAGCTCTCCCCCCACAAATCCACCTGGTGTATAAAGCCTTAAATCCATGCTGCTGGGTTACTAAATCCTCTGCGGTGCTGGCATAACCCTGACCCTGCCTTGTTGGAAGAGCAGCTGGTAGCTTTGCTGGGAAATACTGTCTGAGCTGTAGATCCTGTCCTCACCGCCACTGTTTCATCCATGTTGTCCACTTGACCTACACATAGGTTATATATGCATCCCTGGGATGAGGCCATGCTAAAGAGGAGAGGAAGATGGATAGGGTGAAGGAGCAGGCTTTTTTTCCCCTGTTCCTAAACATGAGTCAGCAGGATGCCTGTTTTCAAAGCTGGCTGCTCTCAAAAAGGCATTTGCATTTCAGAGAGATCCTGCTTTGCTCTCCCACTGACAGTGTTTAGCTTTTGTTTAAAAGCAGAGCTCCTCCACAGCGCTGCAAAAGGGGCCGATTGCAGGAGACAAGAGGCAGGAGCCTCTGGGTTTGATCATCTCTCCCTTTGTCTCTGCCAGCCAAGCCCCTTGCCAAGAGAAGCCTCTTTCAAAATCCAAGGCTCATCAGAAAAAATAGCCCATGCTAAGCAGGGGAATGCGGCTGGGATGAGCACACACACGTGTGCACACGCGTGCAAAGGCAAACTGGGGAGCATTCGTCCACCCGGCGTTAGGCACCTCCTCCAGCCTGGCATTGGGGTTAACCACCCCAACCAATGTGGTCTGTTAGAGGAGACCTCCGAGATCACCTGCAGAAATGTGACTTATAAACCCCTGGTGCTTTTGAGCAGGAGGATGCTCTGCAGCTCTTTGCTAACACCCCTCGCTTTGCCATGCTATGCTGTGCACCCAGGTCACTCCAGTGTGGCTTTTTAATCCCTCTTCATGCACATTTACTTTTACTAGCACAAAGTGCCTGGTGTTGCCATCACCATTA